GAAGGAGGGAGCAAGGTGCACAGCGCAGCTCCCCACGCAAGACTCCAACGCACGTACTCCAAAATGTGCAAGTGAAGAATGAGCGTGAAAACAGACAATGGTTGGGGTATACCCCAGCGGACTGACGGGACTGGACTGGACTGGCTGGTACCGACAGAGGTACCGGCCTGGACTGACCTACCCCGAATACAACACAGGCCTGTGAGAATAGGCCAAGGGGCTGGTCTCACAGACCAACCCGAGGTCCGCTACAACAGAGGCCGAAGTAGGCCAATACCGATTGAAGAAGGCACACCCAACCCACTGGAACTATATATTTTGGGTTACAGTGTCAGAGGACAGTCAGTTGTTCATTTCGCAAATTTGTGGAAGCGCTGCTGCAGCTTCTGCGGACTAGTGACCTGGACGAAGAACTTCACTGAAGGGAGGAAGAAGACCAGCGCCCTGGCTGCGACAGACCACCATAGCCAGGAGAGGGGAGATGAAGTGTCATAGCCACCCGTTTGTTGTGAGGCACACCGCAGAGGCATTCAGGGTAGATCCGGGACATTGTAGTGGGAGGAGCGGTGGGAGCATCGCGGGATGAACAGTGCAGAGATGTGAGTGCACTAGAGAGATAGAGAGTAAGAGAGGGAGAAAAGAAGGAGATCAGAGGGGAAGAAAGTGGGGCACTTACCAGAGTGTGTTGCAACGGTTGACACAACCCAATCCCAAACTTTTTATTTAAATTGTATATTATTTGTACTTTGAGTGGAATTTCGAATTGGCACTGTTCATGGCCATAGCCCAAGCTTATGTGTACTTTATCTGAATGCTCCCAATTTGCATGTGGTGTTTTGGGAAAGTTCCCGACTTCCGTTGGTAGTCTGCTGCAAATTTTGGACTTTGGCAACTGACATGCTCCTACAGGTAGAGCATGCATCTCTTTTTCAATCGTTCATGTTGTTTTGCTATGTGAAAAGTCGCTGAGGATTCCCTTGTTGCTTGACTGTTTCAGGAATGCCTCGTGCATGTCCGGGGCACATTCTGGTGACCAGTGTTTTCTCCATGCGGCCACTTCTTGACAACGAGGCGTGCATAGTACTGCATACTGCAATGGTGCTTAAGAGAGGAGACAAATAGTAAAAAGTGTTTGACTTGTTCCCTATGGTGCCCCAATCGTGGTTGTTTGGTACAATTATCGCATCATCGATTCGCATGTTCCATAAGCAAGGAGTGAATTTGGGAGTTCCTGGAACAGCAGATGGAACAATGGTTGAAGGTGAGTTACAGGAGTGTGAATGTTGACGTCTCTAGTTTTGAAGAAATGTCCCGATTCTCAGTTGTGTAGGTGTCCTGTAACCCTCCGTACAAATATTCGTACTTTCTGAGAACAAGCTTACTTTAAGTTACCTATTTGCAGCGAAAGGCCTTGGACACCACCCAACCCACATGGCTGAATGGTACACCCATGTGGCCGTTGATAATCAGATTGTGAGTTTGAATCCTCAT